ATAATAATATGGGCATTATTATTATTATTAATTAATTAATTAATTATACTAAATTACCGTATATCTTCCAGTCCGTACTACTATTCCTATCCCGTAACCTTCAAGACAAAACGATCCTTTAAATGCAATATTGCGTGCTTCAAATACTGGTACATACGTTGCTGCTGCTTCATGAGTGTAATCATATGGTTCTTTTTCACCTAAGATGAAAGCAAGTAAATTGTGAAACTAAGCTTACTTAGTAGCTCCAATCTTGATTATACTCTACCTGCGTGATAAATTGCTACAAACTATATATTTGTAACCACACCGCTATGTCAACAACATATTCAAGCAATTTCACTAAATTATAAACTCGAGAATTAACGAAATTCAAAAATTAAGATTGTTCAATTATTCAACGAGTTTGGAAAAATTAAATGATGCTAACAATGACAGTAATTTCAACTGTAAAATAAGATAGTAATTTATGAACTGATTAGATCTATTTGTGTGATATAATAACATAAAACAGATATCTTTTGTGTAGTACGAAACTTACTTTTTGTATAGTATGAATAAATTTTACAGTACAGTAGTATTTAGCAAAACAACCTGTAATAGCTGAGGTCTCAATTTTCAACCCATTTGACTGCAAGATGCGCAGATCAGCTGGTACAATAGCACCAGCTGTGATCACTACCAAATCACCAGTAACAAGTTCAGCTTCCGGAATCTGCTTTTGTTCAGAATCGCGAATTACAGTACAGGACATTGGAGGGACCATTTTCAAATTACTTTCCACCTGAAATAGCATACACTACAGAGCGCGCTAACAGTTTTACAATAATTTCAGAATATCTATCGCAAAGATAGACAATTCTCATCACTGTTATGATCTTAATTTTTTATCAAAAACCTGATATTTACATATTTTTCATTTGATGAATTGCAATGCTATAGAGTGGAAGGTTTAAAGTACCGATCTTAATCGAAGGAGTAAATGAACAATTCAAAAATCCCTCGTAATTTTCTTCACTGAGCAAGTACTATGCATTACAACTGGTCAACTTAATCAATAATTTTAATTTAAATGATTAAAAGTTAATAAGCAAAAGGCAAGAAAAAATCCTTCAAGAAATTAATATTTATTTTACCGACAATTTTTAGTTTACAAAAATATATACTTATTTTGTCACTGATTTTGAAGTAGACAGAGTCTGTCATTAAAAGTTAAAGCAAGCGCATTATAACTTATGCAAGTCAGCAAAGTATACAAAAAATGAGAGTTTGTAAATAAATAGCAAGTAAAATGCAGACTTGAAGTGCTCGTTTTTCTTGGTAGAAAGTTACGCAGCACATTAATAGAACAATAAATACTAGAATGATCGTGCAGTACAAATTGACTGGTTCGTTATTACCGTGCATTAAATGGATAACATAAGTTGTTAAACTGAGTGCGGCAGCACCTAAAATGCTTTTTTAAAATTTATTTTAATGGGATTTGAGAACAAATTCAATAACTTATAATTAATTTAAAAACAAAGCAAGTGAATAAATGAAATGAACTTTTAAAAAATTGATAAATTAGCATTTAATGAGGAAAATGATATCGTTTCAGCTTTATAAAGTATGAAAGGGACGGGAAATTGTACTAAAGAAGCATCTAAACTACAAAAAATTCAAATAATTTTGGTTTTATTCCCAATCGAAAACCACAATGCTTGAAATTTTTTGAATATTTGATTGATTTAAGCATTGGGGTTATGTTTTTCAATTTTTCTGCAATTAAGAATAACAAAAAAAAACAAATGCTTGATATGATTTTAAGTAAGCAAAGTCTTAAACGAAATGCGTAGAAAAGGCTTACCAAGAAGTAATAACCAAAGTCGATACAAAAACTGTCTCAAAAACAATTTAAAATTGTTCATTTTCCGCGGAGGCTCAATGATATTTGTACCACCATCAAGTAAACGTTTCCTAATTTAAGATTCAAACTTGATCAAGAGAAAGTTTTAAATTTTTTAAAAAATATAGAAAATTATTAAATTAGTTGTGTTCTAATTCCTTCGCATTTCATTTGCATTTTCACAGTAGTCAACCTTGCTTTCATGACTTGATAACTCCACAAATGAACCATTCATCCATTTAAATGACAATACTAACTTCCTAGCAAGCATTTGTAGAAATTTCAAAAATGAACTTCACTAACTTTGCTTCTGCTTCACTTAGTCCATCACTATGTTCTGGATTGTGGGCATTGATACAAGAATCAACGTAAACTTCTTCAAGCTGTTTCACAGTTAGATGATGTTCAACGAATGATTGCCCTAGATCTTCACAATACTGCTTTTGTTTCTCCTGTTCATTCGGTTTGTCTAACCATCGATTGCTAACGAAATTCCAGCATTCATGACCATCTGAATTATGCGACAGAAATATTCATTACAAATGGAATATATGAGAATGCGCTAAAGCGTTTGCTTATTTTAAATAATTTATTTGGGCTCTAAAATTAATTAAAAGACAAAAAACAAACCCTTACACATAGTATTACTGATTTGATTGATTCACTGATTGATCGAGCAAACCAGTCGCGAACAAGGCTTTAGTACCTTGTTATTTACTTTCTTCAATTTCAGCCAAACTAAAATCATATTTATAGAATTATATAAATATTTTAGCTCTTCAAATAATAAAAAACTTAAGTAAATTATAATACTCTAGCAGCATCTATATTTCCATTAACATCTAACCAATTAG